CGTGTGGTATGCAAATGTACTGTATTTGTCGATTCGTCTCATGCTTCTTCTTTATATAACTAGCAAGATCATGCATCTACCTTGAATTATAACTAATAAGAGCAAGAGCATTCTACCAAAATCATGCTTTTAGTTTGAACTATAATAATTAAGAGAAAGATCACATTTCTAGGTTTAAATTACAACAACCAACAGAGACCATTGAAGGATTTCAGGCCTAGGCTTGATTCTGTTAGGTCCCCTTCAGAAGCTCTTCGATCGTGGCTGTTACAAAGGCTAACATGCCGCTGATGCTCAATATTAAGTTTGAAAAGTCGGACTCGGACACCCGAAAAATAACTTGGTTTGCAAGTTCGGTATTGAATTCTGTTGAAAAAGTTCAAGCTTTCTTACATTATGACTTGAGTTGGGGAAAGTATAAAAAAATTTGAAAAAATTGAGGAAGCCATTTAACCTAATTATACATGATATGTCCATCAATATAAAAAATCACGAATAAAAGCCGTGAAAACTCTTTCCTCATTCATTTTTTTCTACTCTTAACCTCCTCTTCCTCTTCCTGGTGCATTTCTGTGAATTCTTCTTGCAGGCTTGAACGCACGAGCCCATACATCTCTTCTATTAACTCGAAATTGAACCCTTTCTTGTCCATTCAGTATGAATTGGATCATGTCTTTGGACTTAAGGACAAGGCGTGCAAATAAAGCCCTCGACCTGTCTTCTGTGTGTCGCATTATAATCTCATCAACCACGTCACCATATCGACTGCATAGGCATGAAAGACTGCGTGTTAACTCAGATCAGAATAACCTAATCCTTTCCATCCCTTTACATAACATTGCCCTATGCTGAAAACAATATGGACATAGTGTATGATTGAAAACATTACGGTCACGGTTGAAAACATTACGGTCACGGGTTATCATTGTCCATCACTGGATTGGAAAGTAATGCTGTGAAAGAATTCCGTACACCTTGAGATAGTATTCATGCTAATGAAGTCAAAACTAAGAAAAATACTCATTTTGGAAAAAAAAACTAAACCAGTAATGTGATGAGAGAAGTCCATTTTTCACGACACGAATAATATTAGAAATTTAGATAAAGAAGAAAAAGTTTGCAAAAACTAAAATATTTAAAGAAACATTCCTTCGGTAAAAAATAAATCTGTGATCTAATAGTTTAAAAAAAACAAAAATCTCATTTGGGAAAAGAGGGCAAAAGGCAATGTACCAAAACTTACAAAAAGTAAAAATGAACAGAAAAAGCACCTGCTAAAAAAGTTCACAATACTCCGCTCATCAATGGAGTGGTCCCTTGAAAATGTGAGAAACAAAGTCCTCTCTTCGCCCTCAAACTGAACCGACAATAGTGGGGGCTGCTCCCTCGCTTGGCTGCTGGCCAAACACCGACCCCTCAGCCCTCTTCTACCCATATTACTGTGATTTGTAACACCTCTCACATTAGGGCTCCATTGAGTAGCAACATTAGGGTTAACATTCCCAGCCATATTAGGGTTGAGATGACCCCTCAACCCTCTTGTACCCACGTTACTGTGGTTTATAATACTTCTCACATTAGGGCTCCAATGAGCAGCAAAATTAGGATTAACATTCACAGCCATATTAGGGTTGAGATGACCTAGACCACTAGGGTTCATGAGAGCAGGCAAATAAGGGTGATCATAACCTTCATTAATAGGGTTAACAAAACTTTCAATATTAGGAGTACTAGTAGCAAGTGGCTTACAATGACCTCTTACAAAAGAATTAAAACTAGCAAATGGGTTTGCAGGGCCCATAATCATAGTATTAACATAAGGTGGCAGTGTAACCCTAGGAACTCCATTACCTATATCACCACTACCTCTAGGACCAACCCCACTTGAAACATAGCCCATTACCTCAAATGGACCATGAGTACCCCTAGGAACACTACCACCACTGCCACTACTACTAGCCCCTCTTGAATCATAACGCCTTTCTCGTAAAGTCACAAAAGTGGTCGGAAATTGCCCATAATCTGATTGATAAAGGCTATCATCATCAAATATCCTAGGGCAGACATTGTTTAGAATCATGTTTATGACATAGCCGATTCGCTCATTTAGGTCCTGCAAACTTAGAGCCCTACCAACTAAACCTGCTGTTATCGGTATCTGATTGCATCCGTTCAAGGTTGAGGGATTGGCCCCTGACCAAAGATATTCCAAACATAATTCAGCCTCTCTAACGAATTCGAGAAGAACACATGTTTCAAACTTGGAGATTGCCTCGACGATGTTACCATAGCCAACAAGCTCCAGCCCTAGCCAGAAAGCCATATTTTCTCTGGCTCTTAGGGGATGGAACCCTAATTGTATAACAAGTCGCCTGTATAGCGCCCTATCCATGTGGTGAAAATTACGAATCTCTGAGTCAGAGAGGTTGGTCACGTTAAGAAATGAGTGATGAGGAGGTAAGTTAGCCATGGTGCGAAATGGGTGCACCAGATTCAAGAAAGAGGGTCCAGATGGGTGAAGGAGACGCTCAATATTAGCGCAAAGAGGATCGATATGGATATTCTATTTGCTTGAAAACCAGAAGAATTGCTGGAGAGAGCCATATTCTTGTAGTGGTGGTTGATTGGGTCGTAGCTTTTCAGAAGAGGTGGGTTTGAAGATGTTTGCATCGTTTAAGACGAAAGATTGCTCTCTCTCTCTCTCTGATTGGGTTGTAGCTTTTTAGAAGAGGTGTGTTTGAAGAGGTTCGCATCCTTTAAGGCAAAAGATTTCTCTCTCTCTCTCTCTCTCTCTACTCATC